CATAATGTTCAGAGATAAGTCTTGCTTACTGTGTGATAATTACCTTTAATAAAGGGCAAAGTTAGTACATTATCATATTATATCCTACTAACGAATCAAATATGTATATACAACAAACATCGCTTACATATGGCAGCAGTAGAACTGTGGTTCTAGTCCACCTTTATATTTTATATACTGGGTATCATACTTCTCTGAGGCCTTAGTATATTGGTGCCTCTTTAAGAACTGTGTGTTTATTGCAAATAGGGTTCATATCTTAAATCTCTATTTTTTTCAGTACCTGTTACACCACTTGGCACATCACACATGCTCAAAAATTGTTGAGTGGAAGTATGTTTAGTTTTAAGAAGCCAATACTTTGATATTATTATATCAACACATATAATATATGATATGGGGTTGTATAAACATTTATGTATCCCAAATACTAAGATGCTTTTAGCCTTAATGAAATTATACCTGTGGCAAAGAACAAAAAGAAAATTGTGGAAAAATCATTTCTTTAGACTCCAATTAAATCCATTAAAACAAGAAATAGGGGCAGCCTGGGTAGCTCAGCGGCTTAGCACCGCCCTCAGCTCAGGGCCTGATCCTGGAGACCCGGGATGAAGTCCCATGTCAGACTCCCTGCATGGAGCCTGCTTCTCCCTTTGCCTGTGTCTCTGCCTCTCTCTCTCTCTCTCTCTCTCTCTCTCTCTGTGTCTCTCATAAATAATAAATAAATAAATAAATAAATAAATAAATAAATAAATCTTAAAACAAAAAAAAAACATGAAATAGTTCATCAAGAGACCTCTTTTCAGAAGTCAAAAGTATGTCTCAATAAGTATATGATCATCTGGGCAGGTAAAGTATCACTGGAGGGGAAAAAAGGCAGTGAGATAGCATGCAAAGTGTATGAAGTTGTAACTTTAAGTACCAAGTTTGAATTTGAATGGGTCACTCTCTTCTGTGTGATGCCAACAAGGCTACATGCCCAGAACAGTGCAGGACAATGTGCGGCATCAATTTGATTTTCTAGTCCCCATAGAAACATACCAGCTGTCATCATGGAACCATTAGGTTCAGGAAAATCAAGTATCTGAAAAAAAAAAAAAAAAAGCAGATTTTTTAAAAGTTGGAAATTCTATATTTGCAAAAATGTCAATCTCACTTTTCTAGTCTTCATGGTGGGAGGATACTAAAAGTGATGGTCAGTATCAGAGCTGTAATAACTTGAATCTAATCCATGTAGCTGTCCAGGCCCCAGACTATCAGGTGCATAAAATATTGCCTGGGTACTGAAGTATCACTGGAAATACTACTGATCAAGAACAACAACAACAACAAATTCATGTGACAGAACTGTTTTTAGGAAGAGAGTTTTGTGAATTTAAAGACATATTGGTAAACTAGGAGTAAAAGGCGATCACCAAGGCATGTTCAGACAGTGGATTGTCTGTAAATCCCCAGAAGATAATGGGAGTCCATTCACAGCATAGTGGGTTTTTTTTGTTGTTGTTTTTCTCTGGGAATACATGAAATATGCATAGGGAGCATTACTGTGTATACCTCTTGGCTTTTTACCAAGCAACAACTCCTCTAAATAAATATGAAACAAATTATTTAAAAAATATTGTAGGGATCCCTGGGTGGTGCAGCGGTTTAGCGCCTGCCTTTGGCCCAGGGCGCGATCCTGGAGACCCGGGATCGAATCCCACGTCAGGCTCCCGGTGCATGGAGCCTGCTTCTCCCTCTGCCTGTGTCTCTGCCCCTCTCTCTCTCTCACTGTGTGCCTATCATAAATAATAAAATAAAATAAAAATAAAAATAAAAATAAAAAATATTGTATTGGTGTACTTATTTGAAAAGTCACTAAATTTTCATGAATGTCATAACCCACCCTTATGTATTTCTGATTAAAATGGAGGTATATTTAGTTATGCTTTCTATCCTTTCCTCCAAGGCTTTTGCCAAGAGAAGTTGTGGGATTTCTTGTCTCAGGTGTCTTGAGGCAGAACGGAGATCACACTCCCTTAGTGATGACAGAATAGACACCAGGACCACTTAAATGGCTTTCCTGAACTCCCACATTGGCTCTTCTGATAACATGTTTTAAATATTCTCAACTCAAAATAAAATAAAATAAAATAAAATAAAATAAAATAAAATAAAATAATAAAATAAAATAAAATAATAAAATAAAATAATAAAATAAATAATAAAATAAAATAAAATAAATAAATAAATAATTCTCAACTCAGGTTTGAAATATTGCCTCAGCCCTACTAAAAACCTTTCATTCCTCCAAAATTTCACTAGATCCTGTTGTAGTCATAGGATTCTTTTTTTTTATTTTTTTAATTATTTATTTATTTATGATAGTCACAGTGAGAGAGAGAGAGGCAGAGACACAGGCAGAGGGAGAAGCAGGCTCCATGCACCGGGAGCCTGACGTGGGATTTGATCCCGGGTCTCCAGCATCGCGCCCTGGGCCAAAGGCAGGCACCAAACCGCTGTACCACCCAGGGATCCCCGGATTCTTTTTTTTTAGAGTATAGTTGAAACACAATGGTCATTAGTTTCAGGTGCACAACATAATAATTCAACAACTCTGTGTTAAGCTGTGCTCACCACAGATATAACTACCATCTGTCACCATACAAAGCTATTATAATACCTTTTGACTATATTCCCTATGCTGTACCTTTTATCCCTGAGACTTAGTCATTCTGTAACTGGAAGCTTTATTCTCACTCCCCTTCACCCACTTTGCCCAAATTCTCTGCCCTCTTTCTCTCTGGCAGACATCAGTTTGTTCTCTGTATTTCTAGCTCTGACTCTTCATTTTGTTTGTTTATTCATTTGTTTTGGATTTTAGATTTCACATATAAGTAAAATCATATGGTATATTTTTTTAAAGTAAAGTGACATCCCAATCTGGATGGCATCATCTCTTCTTATGAAGACATCCTGGATACTAGAAAATTAGGCAAATGACATTACTTCTTTGGTTTGAAAACTAAAGACCCAGGAATCTGTAAGTCTCCTCCTATAGTTTGTCTACCTGACGAGGAAACTTTTGAATAGCAAATTGAGATATGTATCTATAGTGCGTGTAGGAACTGAAGTCAGCATATATGATCATAGAATTGTTAAGCAAAGATTTGGGTAGACCACAAAGGACTACTACTGTATGCCACTAAAGGACTTTTGTCTTTTAAGAATTTCCTCACAGAATGTCTTTCAGCCTGAGTTTTTAGATTTTATTATCAGAGGCTTGTTTTCCTTTCTTTGAAGTCTTTTTTTTTTCCCTCTCCCCACTTTTCAGCGCTTTGATAATATGAAAGGCTTCACTCTAGAGAAGTCACTGAAGCAAAGAAAAACTTCACAGAGCCATACTGGGGGAATTAAAACATATCACATTAATTCAGCCTTCCCTTTCTGTCTTCTATCAACTAAAGAAAGTTATAAAAAAAAATAGAACTAATATGGAAACACAGACATATGGGGAGCTTGAATTTTGTTTTGTACTTTTGCACATAAAAAACGAAAACCTCCATAAAGCCGCTAAGGCTTTCTAACATCATCAAGTCCTCTTCTATGAGTCATTAACTTACTGAAGCCCTGAAAATCAAATTTGGTTTAAGGCTGTTTGATAATGTAGTAACACAGTAAAATGCGATTCACCAATTAGCTCATATAATTAGAAAATCAAAAACATGCTCTAAGTGGCTGGTGGACACACATAAGTAAAGTCTATTATCATTGTCTATAGTTGCTGATTCTAGTTATAATTATACCTTGCACTGATGATGCCACATCCAAATTCCTTATGGAAGAGAATTCACAAATATCTGTGTTTACAAATAAGATAAATAAATGAATACTTAGTTCAGTCAGTTGTTTTTTCAGCTTCTTTCTTACATCAATAATTATTTCTTCCCAGACTCTGTTGAGCATAAGAGTATCTAGTCCTTGCCTTTATAGAGCTCTCAGTCTACAAGAGCTGTGTTTAAGTTCTTCTAAGGAAAGAAAAGTCAACTGGTTCAGACCCTACAAAAATGATAATAGTTAGAAATTCATCTTTCTGAGATGATTAGATGATTCCTAAATGCTAATAATATTGCCAAGACACATGAAAGAAAAAAGACATAGCCATCTCAAGAATTTTCTTGCTCAGAGACTTTTGCCTGGCTGAAAAGGACTCTGTGATAAGAATGGGAATTGAATATTTGTTAGTCTATTTTAAAGCCACTCTTCATCTATTCTGTATGCACATCTGTTGACATCTAAGGCATATGTTCTCTATTGCCTGGCTATATTCAATATTTCTGTCGTAAATTCATATCAATACAAGAGTTGCTTAGATGGTTAAAGCTTTCTCATTAGGAATTTCAAACATATACAAACATATCATTCTTTTCTTGCTGCTTCTGAGGTACATGAACATGTATGAAGTACATGATTACATAGCCCAGGGCTTCCTAATAAATATAATGAGGATAATGGGGATGAATTACCTGAACTTGAGCCATAAAGAAAAGGCATTTCTTATCTGACACAGTTATTCTGAATGCTATTTTTTTGGCAAAATATGACATAGCATTGTGCTGCCTTTTCTACTGACTTATTAAGGTCATATTTTAGTGTTCACTCATGGAAATTGTAAAGGATATTAGGAAATTATTTCCCTCGTACCTGTAACATTGCCCCTAGGTAGTTTATTCTTTGTAACCTCACAATGCATATTTTGTGTTGTTCCCTCTGTCCCAAATATCTTCTCAAATATCACCATTCTGAGGAATGCAATAAACTTTGACTATTTTTTTATAAAATTTCACTCGTATATTTTAGAATAGCTTAGATTATATTTTATTTGGATGAAAACACGATCACAAACATTAAGAAAGTATGGTTTATCCATAGCCAGAATGAAACTTAACTTCGAATATTGTTAAAAACACAGCCATTTCCCCCTTAATATGTATTTAATCATTCTTTTTTCCTATTTACAGGTCAATGGGACAGAAATTGAATATGAGTTTGAAGAAATTACACTGGAAAGGGTAAGAAAAATCCAATAATCCACAACCTCAATCTTGCATTTGACATTCTGCATCCTAATGCATTATTTTGTGAGATCACACAATTGTGTGTTTTACCTTGGAAGTTTCCAACAGGTTTCAAAATAAAAATATTAATGAAATGTTTGCAATGGAGGTTACAGAGACAAGCCAAATTATCAGAATATTCCATGTGTAAATTGCATTGCCAAGATTTGGAGAGATGAATGAGAGAGAAATATTCAATGAGCTAGTATAGCACTTTTTCCTATTATTTTCATCATTAATGTTTTGTGATACAGTTTTAGATACATTACAAAATATTTTCACTTATATAATATTATTGCTATCTCATGACTACCTTATCATGCATGCATTTTCAATTTAAAAAAACTAATTGATGAGAGATCCCTGGGTCGCTCAGCAGTTTAGCGCCTGCCTTCAGCCCAGGGCTTGATCCTGGGGACCCGGGATTGAGTCCTGCATCAGGCTCCCTGCATGGAGCCTGCTTCTCCCTCTACCCATGTCTTTGTCTCTCTCTCTCTTTCCGTGCCTCTCATTAATAAATAAATAAAATCTTAAAAAAAAGTGACGCATTTTGAAGCCACCCCTTTGGAGAAAAGCACAGCAATCCTACAGATCTCTGCAAATATGTTATTAGGGACTTGGCAAGGCTTTGACAAATTAGCAAAATTCTGTGTAACAACCCGAATCTATAAATGTATTTTAGAAAACAGCAAGAGAAAGGCCAAAAACCACCTAGAAAAAAAATATGACCAAAACAGGACATTCATCAAAAAAGAAAAGGCCAATAACATATGAAAACTTGTTCATTAATAAACAAACAAAACAATGATCCTAAATGGTTTTTGTGTGTCCAGTTGGCAAAATCGAAAAGGAAGGTTAATATTCACTGCTATGGAGTGACCCTAGAAATTGTTATAACCACAAAAAAGCAAATTGGAAAAATGAATCAAAAGCTTTAAAATGGCCACAGTTTTTTTGACTCAAATTTTACTTACAAAATATAAAAAGACATAAAGAATGTTCATATTAGTATTGTTTATAATAATGAAAACTGAAAAGGACAAGTGTTTAATAAGACATTATTATATGTCCAAATAATAGAAAATTATATTAAATTATATTATAGTGGTATTTTTAGGAATATTTAAATATAAAATGGAAGGCCTAATGAGGTTATCTTATTAAATTAAAAACATAAATTTTATAATGGTATGTAAATACAACCCCATAAGTACCAGTATGCATAATTTGCATTCGTAAGTATATACATAAAGCCTGAAAGGATATACACCAAAATGTTAACACTTGTTATTTTTTATAATTTTTAGTTTCTTCTTTTTGTTTGCTAAACATTCATCTTTTTGCTAAACATTCCATAATAAACACGTAATCCATTTATAATAAGAAAGAAAAATGTAAGTATTTTTCTAAGCTATATCATCAAGTATGAATTCAGACTCTAGACCTGAACTTAAATTTATATTCCTTTTAAGTTTACTGATTATTCACTTTCCTTAGTTAGAAATTTTTCATTCTCAACCTAATTTTTATTGAGCATGAGTGGTTTTAAAAGGAAATTTACATTAAAAGCTAAGTGTTTGACAGATGTGTTCTTTAAAACTTCCATTATGAACTTTGGTTAAATTTTAATGGCATGCTAAATGGAGAAAGAATGAGACTTATGGAAAATTAGCCCAAATGAAAAAAGAGAACACATTTCTCCTACTAAATCAGTAATCTTTTCTTTAGGACTGGCATATATAATTTGCGGAGTACAGTGGGAAATGAAGATGCAAGGCCCTTGCTTAAAATTGGCTAAAAATCAAAAAGATGGCAAGAACTGGGCATTAAATGCCACGTGACCCTTCTTAAATGTATGATCCTGTTTCGCTGCGCTGATCTCACAGTCAAGGAGCCAACCCTTCTCTCCCCACCCCCCACCATCTTAATATGACATCATGTTGTTACCCTGGTTTTATAGGTCAGAAGATTAAAGCTCACTTTGGTGTGAGGTAGAACATATGGTGGGAGTGAAACAACTGTGTGTTCTAGGCTGTGTTCTGATGCTCCCTTGCTTCAAGATCTGACAAGTCATCTCACCTCCTGCCCTCAGGTTCTCAGTCACACTCTGAAACTTACCACTGCCCTGAACTACACCCGCTCGCAAACATCCATCGCCTATTATCTTTGCTGAACACCACCTCTTCTATGTTCTTATCATTTATTCCAGTATTCCCCCTCAAAAATTTTTCCAACTCCCATTGGGACCTTGAATCACTGATTTTACCATTCCCCTCCCATTTTCACCTTTCTTATGTCCCACCCCTCCCCCACCCACCATACTCCACAGTCTCCCTCTCATAGGCTTTCTTTTTTTTTTTAATAAATTAATTTTTATTGGTGTTCAATTTACCAACATACAGAATAACACCCAGTGCTCATCCCGTCAAGTGTCCCCCTCAGTGCCCGTCACCCATTCACCCCCACCCCCCGCCCTCCTCCCCCTCCACCACCCCTAGTTCATTTCCCAGAGTTAGAAGTCTTTATGTTCTGTCTCCCTTTCTCATAGGCTTTCAACATTTCTTCTCCTCACTTCCTTTCCGTGCTCATCCAGCAAAGCCTCAGCCCTCCAAGTCACCACCTGGGCAATTGAATGGATTTAGAGAAGCCCTCATTCATCTCACTTTAAATTTATAGCTATTGATTTCGAGTGAACCTTCAAAACATCCTTCCAATTCTTATATATTTCTTTAGAAAAATCATTTTCTCATTCTCTGGAACAACAGATTCACAACTTATTTGCTCTCCTCAAATCTCAAATACTGCTCCCCTCCTTCATCCTCATTTTCAGCTCTTGATCTCTCTTCCTGTGTCCTTGAGAAAAATCCAAGCAGTCATAGGAAGACCACCTCACTTTCCTACCTCCAAGTCTGCCAGTGTGATCTCCCTTTACAGGGGAAGAATGTTCCCTGCTCCTTTGTGAGGTCAGCCCTGCACTGGTGACCTTCACTTGTGACCTGTACTCTGTAACCTCTTGTCCATTTAAGGACTCTGCTTCTGCAGTTTTCTCCTCTCTGTCTCTCCTACAAAATCAGTTTCTCTCTCTCTCTCTCTCTCTCTCTCTCTCTCTCTCTCTCTCTCTCTTTCTCTTTTTCTCCTGGATAAATTTAATGCAGACATGATATAATATCTCTCATTAAAAAAGAAAAAAAGTCCTCTAGCAATGCAGTAATATAGGACAAAACAAAACGTCATTTGCCTCAATGTTCCCCTCCTGTTATTGTTTCATAATTCTATTTTTCTTTACCAAAAATCTAGAAAAGTTGTCTATTTTCAATCATCCCACTTTACTACTTCATTTTCTTATTTTAACCTAGTTCATGTTTTCATCCCCTCAGTAGTCCTAAAATCATCTTCATTAAAGTCTTGACCAGTTCCATTTGCTAAATCCAAGCATCAGTTCTCCATTCTAACTTCTCAGTAGCATTTGATGCAGCTATCACTGGCTCCTTCCTTCAAGATGATAATTCCTTGCCTTGCAGAACAGACTGTTTCTCCTGTTTATTCATGACCTCCCTGGTACCTTGTCTTGGTCTCCTTGCTGGCTCCTCCTCTAAATGTTGGAGCATTCCAGAAACCCAATGCACAGACCTCTTCTCAGTCTCTCCTCATTCCCTAGTGATCTCATCCAGACCTATGGTTTTAAATACCAACCATCAGCTGACAATTCTCAAATCTAAATTATGACCTCTCTTCTGCATTCCAGTTGTATGCAACTAACTGTCCAGTTGGCCTCTCTGCTGAATATCAAGAGGGTCTTCTAAACTTAATATGTTACTAACAGAATTCATGATTTCCCTGTACTCCCTACCCTCAGGGCAAAAGCTGCTTCTACCCTAATATTCCTCATCTTAGCTAATTGGTTCTATCATTTTCCTTATTATTCAGGCCCCCCAAAAAAACTCCTCTAGGAGTCTCACTTAATTGCTCTTTTTCCCTTGACATCCAGAGCAAGTCCTACCGGTGCGACCATGAAAATATATTTCAGAATGAATCAAATTTTATCACCGACTCTGCTGAATTCTAGTCCAAACTAATATCATTCCTGTGCCTGTACTACTGTAGTAGTTTCCACTTTTGCCCACTGCTAAAAGTAGCCAGAGTAATCTTTTCCAAAATATAAACCAAATTATACCACTTTTATTCTTAAAACCTTCCAGGAGGCAATAATTACACTCATTATCATCACCTATAAGACTTTATATGGTCTGACCCCTGCTTCTCTGACATTATGTCCTAACCACCAACTACTAGAACATTTCACACATACTTTCTTGTCATTCCTCCAAAAAGACAGGCTTTCCTTACCTCAGAGTCTTATATGCTATTCTATTTCCTGCAATAATCTCCCCTTGGATCTTTAAATGGCTTGCTCTTTTCATCATTTAAATATCTGCTCAAATGTCTCAGAAAAGTCTCCCTTGTGCGCCCCATTTAAATTAGTACCAGCATCCCCATTACACTTTCTTTTTCCGCTTTCATAGCTTTATTACTTTTTTTAATTGCACTTACCAGTATCTGAAATTTATATTATTAATTTATTTGTTGCTCATTTTGTTAATATCTGTCTCCTTCTCTCAATATATGCTATATGTAAATATGTAGTCACTTCTGTATCCAATTTGCCTAGAACATTGTCTGGAAAATATTATATACTCAGTGAATATTTGGTATATGAATGAATTATGCCATTGCTCTACCACTGCAAATCCAGTGAGGTAGAGACACATGGCCTGCATCTGAATCTTGCCTCTATCACTTCCTGGTTGATTGTTTGGGCTGAATACTTAACCTTTCTGTGCTTCAATTTCCATACTTGAAAATGAGGTGAAAGTATTTATAATTATCTCCTAGGGTCTTTGTGATGATTAAATGAGTTAATATAAAGGTTCAGGACAGCATGCATCGTTGTTATT